GATCGCGTTGAAGACGTTTCACGAACCGTTGAGCAGGTTCTTGAAGGGTGAAGAAATGGACTGGGGTACGCAGCATGCGATGCAACTGAGGACACTGAAGAGCGATGGGAATGTCGCTATCGAAGAAGACATTCGACTGGAGGAAGGCTTGAGACTGTGGAATGCACTGAAGGCGGCTGGCGCTACCGGCGACGCGAAGGACACTGCGAAGTTGTAATGGCAGGATGTTGTTGCGTTGTCAACAGATAGGAAATGTTTCTACAATCTTCAAAAAGCGCGGCAAACCTCCACATTGCGTTATTACCCGATTAGGAAGGTTTATCACAAGTGTAGATTATGGCGAGGTGTCTTCAGGCTCCTACACACTGCAGAAGGCTTGCTCGACCTTGCTGTTGCCGTCTTGAGGTTTGCCATGTTCGCCGTATCCACCCTGGCAGCTGCTGCATGCACTGTTTGCCCGCGGAACTGATTCCGAAGACATGACTTCGCCTCGGCAACCTCGTTTGCACCTCAACATGCTCCAAATGTCCTTAATTTCAATTTCATGACATCTAGTACTAGCAACATAGTCTAACATCACCAACCCTCACTTATCCTACTTCCCTTCCTTCCCGTCACCATGCCACCACCCACCTACGACCACTCCGCCCCCAACATCCACAACCTCCTCTCCTCACTCACCCCCCACAACATCCCCCACACCCTCGAACTCTCCACCCGCAACAGCAAATCCAACACCCCCTGGTCCCCCGCGCCCCCCGCCCACACACCTCTAATAGTCTTCTTCCCCCAAACCACCCTCGAAACATCCATTGTGCTAAAAGCATGCAACGAGCGCCACATAGCCGTAACACCCTTTTCCGGCGGCACTAGTTTCGGCCAAGCGCTAGGAAACAGTGAAGGAGGGGTATGTATAAGTTTTGAGCGGATGAACAGGATTGTGGCGGTGCATGAAGATGATATGGATGTTGTTGTGCAGCCGGGGGTGGGATGGGTTGAACTGAACCAAAGTTTGGAAGAGAAGGGGTTGTTTTTCCCTGTTGATCCTGCGCCGGGGGCGAGGATAGGGGGGATGGTACGTATCAATTCATGCCAATCCGATGGGTGTCTTGCTTACAGCAAGCAAGATAGCAATGTCCTGCTCCGGAACAAACGCCTACGCCTACGGCACCATGGCCTCAAACGTCATCTCCCTAACCCTTGTCCTCGCCTCCGGCACCATCATAAAAACACACAAAAGACCGCGGAAAACATCTGCCGGGTACGATCTCACGCACTTGGTCATCGGGTCTGAAGGCACTCTTGCGCTCGTTACAGAAGCTGTGTTGCGTCTTGCGCCGATACCGCGGAATTTGCATGTCGGTCTAGCCACGTTCAAGACGTTCCAAGAGGGTGTGGATGTTGTTGTTTCGTTGCAGAAACTAGGGCATCGGCTTGAAGCACTGGAGTTGGCGGATGGGCCGCAGATGCAGTGTGTTAATGTGTCTGGTCTTGCACCCGCGCGCAGGTTTGAAGAGGTGCCGACGCTGTTTTTTAAGATTGCGGGGCCGTCGATGAATAGTGTGCAAGACCAGATCGATGTCATGCAAGAGCTATGTAGAACGCATGGTGCGTCTAGCGTGGAAATCACGCATCAACGGAACGAGATGGATGTTGTTTGGGGAGCCAGAAAATGCATGGGTACTGCTCTTCTTGCTATGAAGAAGAAAGATACGGATCTTTTCTTACACAGCGATTGCGCGGTTCCTATTTCGAATCTCTCCCGCCTCGTCGCCGGAACCCAATCCCTCATTAGCCAGGCATCGGCTGCGAATCAAGCAACCTGGTTCTGCGCCAACGTCGGCCACATTGGCGACGGCAACGTGCACTCCAGCATCATCTGCCCCCACTCTCACTACTCCGCCGCAATTCGCGTAATCATGGATATCGCTCGACTGGCGCTTAGCTTAGAGGGCACAGTAACGGGCGAACATGGCATAGGGATGAAATTAAGGGATGCGCTGGAGGAGGAGGTAGGGAGTGAGGGTGTGGATGTGATGAGGGGGATCAAGAGGAGTTTGGATCCAAGGGGTATTTTGAATCCGGGGAAGGTGTTTAGGCTGGAGGGGGAGAGGGAGGGGGGTGAGTCTAAACTCTAGGTCTTTAAAGTAGGATGACTGATGGTATGGTGTTTAAGATGGAAGATCCATCATGTAAGAGATATGCAGGACATCCACTATCACCCCTCCTCCTCCCCTCCTCCTCCCCCACCCACCCATGTGGAGTGAAGCTGTAAGTGTGATTTAAGGAAGATATGATGGGACTGCTACGATTACGCCCCAGTTACTCATCCACCTCACACCCATTTCCTATTACATCCACCACCCTCCCTCCTCCTCCCCTCCTCCTCCCCCACCCACCCATCTAATTCTCAAAAGTGTCGCATTTGTCCCGCGTAGGACGTGCTCCAGGCCCATGCCACCTGATCACTCATCCGACCATCCCCACCCATCCCCCCATCCCCTCCTGCATTCCACCTCTCCCCATCCCAGCCATTCTGCCTAGCCCAAGCCCGCCAGTCTGCCATCTCCTCCTCACTCTGATAAACCTCCGGTCCACGCAGAAAGTCCACCTAATCCTTCTTTTTACTCCTCAGCGCCTCTTTCCTCAACCACTCAGCCCAGACGCCCAGATCATCCGCTGCGTCTAGTACCCTAGCCAGCGTCTTCGTTCTCTTGTCGAAGAGCTCTAGTTGCGCTTGTGCTTGTCCAAGACTGTCGTGGTGCGCGTGGATATTTTGCTCGACGACGACTAGCTCGCCGTTGGGATGGATATCGATTGTGACGGCGAGGGGCGCGTTGTATGTTATTGGTGTGGATACGGGGGTGGAGGGGGAGGAGAGGAGATTAGATATGAGGTCTGCTACGTCTGGCGAAGATGTTACGGCTTCGGGGTGGGGGACGTGCAGGGTGAAGCGTGGTGTGGGCGGGTTGTAGCTTAGTGTGACGTCGAGTTGGAGGCGAGGCAGGTCTCCCGGCGCGGACGTCTGCGGTGCAGCTGTTGGTGTAGATTGCTGGCCGAGCTTGTGGGTGGGAACGGGTTTTTCGGGTGCGAGGTAGAAGCAGTCTCGTATGAGTGATGTGACGTGCGCGTACTGTCTTAGCACGGGCAGCATCTCAACCAGTTGCTTTGGATGGCTGAAGGGCAGGCTTTCTAGCGTGCGGCTGTATTCTAGCTTGGGTATGTAGAGACTCATGTCGTGTCGTCTGTCCAAGTCGTTTCCCGATGCGTCTTGCTCTAGTACTAGAACCTTTCGCGAGCTGCGTATCTCATGGGTACGGTCGCCGGTTGTGTTGGACATGCCTGGATCTACCTCGCCTGGCCTCAGCGCTAGGCCTGCGAATGTGGTAGGACGGAAGTCGTCGGTGCGAGGCTCAATGCCAACGATCTGGTAGAGCTGCATGTGCACAGCGAGCGGTACGACGAGAGGGGGGTTGAACTTGGCGACGAAGCGTACATTTGGGAGGCGTCCAGCTGCGGAGTCGAGGTTCATGGCATCGTCGGTCTGCTCGGGGGGTTCGAGGTAGGTCGGCTTGGGGTCGAGCCAGTCTATCGAGGATGCGTTCATCAGCATGTTGTCTAGGGAGACATTTGCGTCTGCGTCGGCTGACTTCTCGACCGCGTCGCTGATCCAGTCGTCGGAGATGCGGATGGGCGTGTAGAGGGTGGAGGGCGAGGATTCGCATTCGATGGTCAGGGAATACATCTTGTTGCGACTCCAGCGATGGTCTTCCGGGTACGAGGCAGACTCGGTCGGCCCATCTAGCTGCAAGCGTCCATCCATCCAGTATTCCAGGCTCAGACCGAGACACGATCCGCCGTTGAGCCTGGGTCGTCCGCTCTTCTTGCACAGCACTTCGCGCTCGGCCCTATATGTCCTGAACCGCTCGTCCGGCTTCCTGTTCGCAAGCTCCGTCTTCTTCTCATGCTCAAACAATTTCCGGAGGCTCGTGTAGACTCCCGCAATCGCATTGTAGCAACTGACCCCGCCGTTCTGCGGTGAGCCCAGCTTATCGAGCGTCAGCAGCTTCTCCAAGCTCTCCGAGAAGCGCTCGAGCGTGACGTTCAGCTTGCTCTGGCCGGGCAGAGGCTTCAAGCTGCGCACGAGAATCTCCGAGCCCGTCGCGCCGAAGTTGAGGTCGGCTCTCGATTCGTCCAGCCCCGTCTGGAGATTGACGCTGACAATCTCGTCGTTCTTGAAGGTGACGTCGCACAGGGCCTCGTCGCCGATCAAGAGACTCCAGGTGCCTGCCTCGTCCATGTGCTTCTCGCACGGTATGTCCATCTTCTTGCAGAGGGCCAGCAGTCCCTGCTCGCTGACGCGTCCAGGCTTCTTGCCGATGATGTCTATGATTTCGCGCAGTCTGCGGCTTCGCTCTGCTTCGTCGGCGCGTCCCATGGCGCTTGCGCTCATGCCCAAGCTGGACATGCCCAGCCCGCTCATGGTGATGCCCATGCCCACACCTCCCATGCCCGAGCTCGCGACGTCGTTGAGCATGTTAAGCACCGCGGGCGAGTCGTACGACATCATGTTGATGTTACCGGAGGGAGGGACGCTGCGTGGGGCGGGCGAGGAGAAGGCATTGAGGTGTCGCGAGGGCGTTTCTTTGTCTTTGGGCGTTGGCGTGGCCATGATGGGCGTGGAGAGTGCGCAAGGCACTGCGTGGATTAATTATGCAGTCGAGTGAGGGTGGGTGTTACGATATCATGTTGCGTGCATATTCATGAAGCGAGTAGGAAAGGTGTTGCGCCCAAGGTACGCCCTCGGTTTGCTGGGCCTTGGCGTCCCAAGCAGGACAGGACGACCACCCCAACTCAAGAAATGCATGCTGCCAAAGTACTGAATATGTTTCCATGTGTAAAGCACAAATATATGGGCGGGGTATCATATCGCGACGCCTGGCCTAAGCCCAAAACCTGAACGCCAGCTCCATCTCCATCTCCATCTCCAGTGTCCCAGCTCAGTCCAACTCCACCACATCATCCTCGAGAATCTCACTAATCTTTCCCTTTGCCCTAGTCCCCGCAGCCTTCCCCGTCTTCTTCTTGGGCGCAGCCTTCTTGGTCCTAGCTTCTTGCAGCAAGAGCTCGTTGAAGATGTCCTCCACCCCTTCCTCATTGTTGTACTCAATCGCCCGTACCCGTTTCTTCGGCCGCGGCTGCTGCGCTTCTTGCTCGTTGCGCTCCTTCGCCTCGACCTCCCAGCGCTTCCTTATCTCGTCTTCGGTCTTGTTCTCCATGGTGTGGAAGGAGGCGTGGTGGCCACATCCGTCGCATTCGTATGAGGATGACGACTGGAATGCTGATTAGCTAATGGACCGGCGGCGTGAGGTATCCAGGCTTACCTTCAGCGGATGCAACATGAAGCGCAAACACGGGCATTTCGCGGCGAGGAGAGATGGCTTGTGATTGCATTGGCCGCGGGGAGGGACATAGTTCATCTGCGTCCAGACATTGGGTGCGTTGCCGGCCATGTCGATGAGGCAGTTGTAGATGAAGTAGAGGCGATCAACGACCCGGGTTGATCAAAACGCGAGGTCGTCCATCGCATAGTGTTCACTAAGTGCACAGGTAGAGGTCGGGCTGCGCGCAAACGCCAAATTGACTCGAATTCACGTGCTTCAACCAGCCGTAACCCCATTGGGAAAACCCCGCTCCGCAAACCGTCTGGCAACGTCATAGCTCTTCAACTGTGGCTTACACACATGCGCAGTGTATCCTTCTCGAATAATTAGTAAAGCAAGGTACACTGTTCTCAGTAAGCACCGGTCTCACGCCACAGCCGTGCGGCATAGTCGGCATCGTCGGCTCAAGCAAACATTCTAATTGTCAATCGGTCCGCATGGGTGTGAGAGTGTTTGATTTGGAATTGCCCCTCGTCCAAGCAAAGTATCATAACCCGACCAGAACTATGGCCAGACCTAGAACTGCCAATGACAGCAAACATGCCCCTCAACCATAAGCAGCATAAGCGGACGGCTTCCCTCTACCCGTCATGCGTCGGCGGCAGACCCTCGCAAAGTGAACCGAATCAGGCCTCGGCGCTAGGCCAGTGGTGGGGAACTTGGATGCGTAGGGCGCTTCTTGTCCAAGTTGACGATCGATACAGCGGGGTAGGAACTCGAGTATAAAGCCCGAGGTGAAGGCAGTCCAACACGACACTTGGTCTTGCAACCTTCACAACCTAAACAACTCCACCAACCACCAACCAACTTTCCACCCCACCAACTTATCAAGATGCCTGCCGGAGGATGCTTTTGCGGTAACGTTCGCTACGAGGTGCAGGGCGAGAGCGGAGGCAACGTAGGTGGTATCCGGACAATTCTCCTTCTGCTGCTGACGACATACGCAGATTCTCTGCCACTGCCTTGACTGCCGCAAGATCACCGGATCCGCCTACTCAACCAACGCCGTCTACTCGGACGAGGGCTTCAAGGTCACCAAGGGTACGCCAAAGGCACACACGGTCAAGGGCGACAGTGGAAACGACGTGACTTCCATGTTCTGGTATGTATTCGCTACGGTATAGCGAGTCCTGTTCTGACCTCGTGTAGCGGCGACTGTGGCTCGACCATGTGGCGCCAAGGTGACACCTTTGCCGGCAAGCGCATCATCAAGGTCGGAACTCTTGACGACACCAAGATCCTCGACAACATGACGATGAACGCCGAGTTGTACGTCGACCACAGGCCGAAGTGGGTAGGCTCCCAGGAGAGCGCGGCGCAGAAGGCGGCCATGTAAGGACGAGCGGTTGACGGTCGAGCGGTCGAGAGCAGGGAAGAAAGGCGCGAATAAGGTTGATCGTGTTACGACTAAGCCATAAGCCAGACGTCTATTCAGAGTCCGAACTCTCTGGTTCCTTCAAGCGTTCTCTCATCATCTGTGACTGTCAGTAGTGACCACACCATATGAATACGACACCTACCTGATTCAAACGAGCCTTGAGCTCATTGATCCTCGTTTCCTTGACCAGAATGTGCTCCTCGTCGAGCTCCTCGATGATGTATTCGTTGTTGTTCTTGCTGTCAATGTCCACCAGCATGGCTTTGATGGAAGCGTCGCACTTGACGAGCGTGCCTGTGAGATCAGTATCGTGAGAATTGGTGGGAGAGGCGTGGCATACCTCTGATAGCTTTGACCATGTTGGGGAGTAGATGCGAGGTTGCGGGGTGCAGGTGGGCTGAAGTAGAAGACTGGACAACAGGGTGCGAGCGCGCAACTGACGCGATTGCTTGGCGCCATCATCTGCAAGCCCCAGCACGCCATTCCGAGGCCTCCGCTGCATCACTTCCACACTCTCGCCTTGCAATGATAAAGACACGCAAGATCGATACTCCAACGTCGTTCTACGCTTCAGGTCGTTCAGCTTTATCATGATGAAGGCTGCAGACCTGTTCAATTTCTTCCTGGCATGAGATGCCACACAAAGATGGCTCCTTCGCGCCTCCTTCACCAGCTACTTGAAGAAGTAGCAAACGATGTGGGCAATGCAGGCGATACAACCGCGAACAGCCCATTCTTCACTAACCTCTCGCCCATGCCCTAATCACTACCTTCGCCCCTCGTACGAATCATTCACTGGGGCACCCTTACGAATGCTTCGCTATTTCCACTCGATACCCACACTACGCTCACTGTAGTACAACCCACGGCTATGGTTTACCTCAGTCTGCTCGCGGAAGCGCCCTCGGCGACTGCACCAAGCATCTTCCACCGCGACGACGACGATAACGACGCCGAACTCTACCCAGAAGAACGCCAAAACGCCAGTTTTTTCAACTACTACTTCCTCCTCCTCGGCGTCCTCGCGGGATTCATCCTTGTCGCAATATGGCTCATCCACCGCCGCAAAGTCCGTCGTCGGGCGCTCTGGCCTCGAAACGGGCAACAGGCAGTGGCAAGAGACGTGGAAGCCTGGCCTGGTACGCGGAGGCTGCTACACGGACGATACGGGGCCACCAATTCTGTTCTGCTTCGCCCAACTGAGGGACTGGACGAGCGTGGAGAAGCGCCGCCGCCCTATCAGCCAAAGTCAGAGGTATCTTCTACGACTGTCGCAATACCGCTTCAAGTCCTATCAGCAAACGAGAGCGAGAGATCACTGCCGCCGCAGTATAAAGCGCTACCCTGAAGGATGTCGAGAACTTTTTCGTTTGGCGGATCGAGATGACGAACGACATTGTGTGCTCCAGGCTCAAGTCTCGTATCCAACGGGTCGCAGACATGCCTCATTGTAATCAGCAACCGAAGCCTTCATCCGCCCGACAAGAACCTGCATAACCATTGCAAGACCCCGCAGCAAAGACACAAGGACAGTATTTTTCTACCCCAGCAATGGATAGCTAAGGAAACACTTCAACAAGAGACCACAGACAACACTATCATCCATTACACCCCCATAGCCTTAATCAGTAATTACAAACCACCACAATCAATACCACAAATCAATACAACACCCCCATTCCTTTTTCTCCCCTCCCCTAGCCCTCCTAATATTTGTCACTGCAAAGTCATCATCCATCAACTACAGCAACAACAACACAAACTGGTCGTATGCATGCGTGAAATAGCGGCGGAGATCCGTTCGATCAGCTACATACTGCAAGCCACAGCCACGGAAGTGGGGCAGAGCATCGCTAACGGAATGGACCCTTGCTACTTGCTGCTTGTGTGTACTCCCCCCACTAATGCCGCAGAATTGACGCTTCCACGCGTAGGTTGTTTTCTTTGTCAAGATGCCGAAGTTGAGAAGATGAGAATGGCATGGATGTGCTGATGTGAGAGGCTTAGTTGCTGCTGTGTTTCTTCGAACGCAGATACCTCGTTCGGAGAGACCGGGGTGGGATTGAAGAGATGCTGAGACTTGACAAACCACTGCCGCTCCACGTCTCATAAATCGCATACTCAAATCACCCTACTTCCACTCACACCATTTACATCCCTCGTCCGAACCACCTCCCCCTCCTCCGAACACACACACAAACTATAATCTACAACACACACGTCACAGCAAAGTCGTGTTATTCAGCAACCCGTCAGCTTACCCCACTAGCCCGTTTCCGTCACTTCCAAGGTTGCATGCATCGTGCCTTTCCTCTTCAGGAAAAGCGTCATCATGGCGTAAAGTGGTGCGTATGACGCCATGCAGGATGATGCAGGATGGAAGGCAGCATAGAAGGGTTGGTAATGCGATAGAGGTGATGATGCGATTTTACACAAATACACATGTACCTGACTAGACGCAAAAGAGTAAACGTGGGAAAGGGTGGGCCAATAGGAGATGGGCAGGGTAGGGTCGGTGGCTTCATGCAGGTTCGGTCTACTTCGTACGGGTGCATTTTGCGATGCGATATCCGAGTTCGGGGCCGAGGGGACTTAGGACGAAGATACTGAGGACGAAGATGGTGGATGTGGGTGTTGAGCGTTATCACACCCACACTGAAATATCACTTGGTAAGTATTTGAGTTGCTTGCTAAACGTAGCGAAGGTTATGGCGTTGATACCTCCGCTCGTCCATCCATCCATTCACGCTGAGTATGCTTGTGACTACAACATCGGCCACCGGTTTTCTCGCGTTAACAAGGCGCTTGCTTCAGACAAGAACTAAGCATGCTAGTCTACCGTACATATCTCCGATCTGTAGATACACTGGCGCCAACGTGCGGGACGTCTAGAACGTGTATGCACGCCATCTTGGCCTTTCCTTTTCCTTTTCCTCTCTCTTGTTGATATGGTGTCGATATGGGGGGAGTAAGGTATGTGTAATCAACTGGACCGAGCTGAGGACGAGCGGGAGGCGAAGAAGAGGAGGGAAAGAAGGAAGAGGCAAGGTAAGATAGGATGCTTGGTCAGCTGGAGATGGTGAGGAAGGAGAAGGAAAGAGGGAGTGGCGGTATGTTGTAGTTATGTGCTGATTACGTGGGCAGGATGGGTGAAGGGGAGTTGGGATGGATTGCTGTGGTTGGTCTGGAGGAAGGTATGGGTGTTGGTGTGGTATTGTGAGAGATGATATAAGAAGGAGGAGGAGTGTTGAGGGAGAAGTGTGTCTGTTCAGTTTGAGATTCATTATTACAGCAACATCGAGAGATTGTCTATATCTTACTCGACGCCTCCATACCAGCACACTCGCCTTCGCCCCCTTTCTCACTTACTCAATTTCCAACCATGTCAACATCCGGCGGCCTCTTCATCAGTAAGTCACGCCATCACCTCTGCTTCTCAGTCTCTATCTCATGTCCGAGCATACAGGCGACTACCTACTAACAATGCTAGTCTGCTGCACAGAATCCAGTACATCTGCCCTCCTCCACCCATCCCACCACTTCAACACCACGCACGCCACAGTCCACTCCACAAATGGTGCGCGTGTTACCCAGGACGTTGTCAACGGCATCTATTGGGCTGATCAAAGTACGCCGTTGGGGTTGGTGATTGTGATGGGACATGCCGGTATGTCTTCATGATTCACGCATACCTAGGTAGCAAGAAAGGCAACCCCCCTAACTTGCGCGTCCCTCTCCACCTAGGGTGTACACACCTCACATCCGCTCCTGAAGACACTATCAGAACCGACATCCAGGCTCTCAAAGCTAGCCCCTACGTGCGAAAAGAAATCCAAATCGTAGGCTACGTCGTCGATTTGTATAGTCGCACACCCGGTACCCCAGCCACAGACGCGAGGTTGAGAGAGGTTACGTACGTTGTTCTTCTCTTTCCCTCTCAGCTTGTCTTTTCTAGAAAATCAAGCTGGCTGACAAGATAAGTGTACCGAACAGTGCTGGGACGACTGGGACGACTGCGGCATCAGCATCGGCATCAGGCCAACAACGCACATCAAATCAGGGGGACAGTATGAGTCCGTTTTGGAGCTGAGTCTCGTCTTATCTCTTCAAACAACACAGTACTCATACATCCCACCACCCATCTTACTTCAACTTTCCGTTTGATAACGAGAGAAAGAAATAATATCATTATAAATAAAAACCATGATTCATTACAAGTCAATATGAGCGGGCCAGGCCAACAAATACACACATCCACACACCTACACACACACAACACGAACTCGTATCAAAAGAAGGACTGACTACCACCACCACCATCATATCCAAGCCCGCCTTACTACCATCTATCCCACACCCCCAAAAACCAACACTAACACCAAGACCAAAACCCGGGTATCCAAGAATAAAAAAGTCACAAAACCATCACCTATCCCTCCCCTCCCCATCCTATCCCCTCTCATCTCCCTCCCCTCCCATCCCTTCCCATTCCCTCTCACCCTCCCCTCTCAAACCTAAGGCAAATCTCCATACGTCTTCCCCCTCCTCCAAAACCTCTTACTCTTCTTCTCCTCCCTGCCCTCATCCTTCCTTTCCTGCCGTGGCGGCGGCATCTCCGGGGGCCCGCTATTCTTCAAAAAGTCGGCGAGGTCACTCGTTGCTGTTCTCGATCCACCACCACCACCGCCGCCGCGGATATTATCAGCGACAGCAGGAGCGCGAGCTTGCAATCTGGCTTTGTTGTTCATGCCAGAACCAGAGTAGGAGTTGGAGGAGGATATGGAACCGAATGCTGGGGCACTACTGTTACCATTACCGTTACCGTAGTTATTGCGAGGAGTGGATGTGGCAGATGACAGCGAAGGATTCGAAGAAGCGGCCGCACGCGCACGCGCAGCAGCGATAGTTTCTTCGCTGAGCATAAAAGGTTGGGGTTTACTAGTCGACGGAGGCTCCATCCCATTTAAGAAATCCATCAGACTCTCCTGTCGTGGGGGTTGCGGTCGCTTAGTTTCCGGTGCTTGGTGTCTTTGCACCTGCACCTGGGGCGGGTGTTGGTTAGTCGGCGTAGGAAGAGCCGTTAACTGGTCCTCGTCTTCATCCTCGTCGTCCTCGTCTTCGTCTGACAGGTCGATGGCGTAAGGGTCCTTAACGCGGCGACGAGTGCGCGTGATGTGCGGTTCATCGGGGCCGGACATGCTGCCGGTGAGTTGTTGGGGTTGGTTGGAGTAAGCGGGCTGGACGACGCTGGGGGAGGGGATGAGACCGGTGCGGGAGTTGATAGTCTGCGTGCTGTCTTTTGATTCTAGGGTTGAGGATGCGGAGCCGTATGCTGATTCGACGTTGCCGTGGCCACCGAGCATTGTCTCGAATTGGTCGGAGTCGACGGTTGTACGAAAGGGCGCGACGTTTCGCGGGATTCTGGGTTGGCCGTGGTTTGCGTCGGGTGGGCCTTGGCGAATGAAGTCGATCAAGTCACCGTTGCCGGTGCTTAGACCTGCGGGACTGCGCGGCTCCATGTTCGGGCGTGCACGTGTAGCTGATCCGTTGGCGCCGCTGGACTGCTTCGACATGGACATCTTACGTCCGAGAGACGATGTCGACTGGTTGCCCGACTTTTGACCATTCCCACTGATGTTGACAAAGGGCTGCACGGGCTTCTCTTGTCCTGGGGAAGGACCGGTGGACCGAATAAAGTCAGCAAAGTCACGCATGGACTCAGACTCGATCTTTGGATCTCTTGCAAGCGGCCTGGTAACCACCTTCCGACTGGGTGAAGGCTTGTGATTGGCGGCAGTAGGTCCCTTGGCTCTCGGTGCTGTGGTATTGGGCAGATTCGCAGTGCCAAACGACTTGTCTTCGGCATTGACGCGGGGATACACAGTTACGGAAGATGCGGAGGGCCTTCGTAGTTCCGCCTTCTTCACGACGGGGGATTCCTTCTATAGATCATTAGCACATGTGATCCAGGGAAGCAAGCACGACTTACATCGGCAGTTCGCACGCTTTCGGGGGTTAATGTAAACTTTACCGTATCCTGTCCTTTGACCAAAGAGTCGAATTCGCGGGCGCGGTCTTCTTCAGACATGCGACCACTCAGTCCACGGGAGCGGTGGCTTCCAATGGACTCCCGTCCGCTTGAGACGACGGGATAAGCGCCCTGCTTCCGAAGAGAGGATGAGGTCGATGTGCCGCGCTTCAGCGAAGAGTTGTCCGAAGATGATTTGTCGGCCACATGCGGAGAACGAGCCGAGTCGTCTGTAGATAGGCGGTTCGTCGCTCGTCGCTCGGATGTGTCAGTCGCAGAAGTAGGACTTCGCCTGGGACTGTCCGAGGTACGCACGCTCCGGCTCGTGTGAATCGACGGTGTCTTCCTTTTGTGCTGTGGAGTGTTGCTCTCAACTTCCTGCAGCGCTGGTAGTGACGAACCACGCGAGGCTGAGCGAGCTAGATCCTGTCTCCTCGGTGCGCTGGTGGGACCTTCGTACGCGGCGGGGCCTGGGACTAACTCGGCACCAGTGAAGGACCTTCTGTTGACCTCTTTGCGTGCCACGGAATGGTCTGGCACGTTGGGCTTGCTATCCGGCGAGGGGGTATTGCTGTATGTGAGCGACGTCGGCGTGAAGTCTCGAGGTGGCACCTCAACGTAGCCTCCACTGCCCGGTCTCCTGCGCTCATGGGGCGAATCGCTGGGGGAGTTCGACGCTGACCGTATAACGCTGTCCGATGTTCGCGCGACGCCAATGGCACGATGCTGCTCCGGCTCGTCGTCTGATGGCTCGTCGTCGAGATAGGATCGCCCTTCAGAGTGGACAGGGGCTTTTGGTGTTGCCAAGGGTGTTCCAACGGGTGATTTGAGGCTCGAACTGCGGGTTGAGAACGTGCGGACCAGTCCTGGAGGGCCGGGTCGTTCGATTGACATTCGCTTGGACCGCATAACCTGGGGTGGGCTTTCGGGGGTCGCCTCGTGCGTCTCGTCTGCCTGCTCAGTCTTCTCAGTCTCCTCGACCTTCTCAGCTTGATGCTCTGGTTCCTGCGACGGCCCAACTGCGCTCCTTCGGAAGCCCATGCCAGTGGCCGCTGCGAATGCCACCATGGAGGCATCTTCCTCGGACGACTCATCTTGTTGATCCTCAGCATCTTCTGCAGTCTCCTCTGTTGCTTGTAGGGGGGTATCCTCTTCCTCAGCTTGTGGGGGCATGGTGAACTGGGGTGCCTGACGCAGCGGCATTGACAAGGGACGGGGCCTGTTGCTCTTGATAGAGGATTCTACAAGAGAAGACAACAAAAGGACACTTGACGGCCGCTGGGGTCGCTGGACGGGCGTCTGCATGCCTGAGCCCTCCGCCCCGTCTTCGTATGTGGGCGCCAGGCCAGGCACCTCGATCTCGTTGACGTCGTTGTCGCCGATGGGGAGGGGTATGTTGGCGGCGATGTCGGTCTCGGTAGGGGGGTGTTCGGGCAGGGGCTCATGCTCGCTGTGTACGGTGTTGATGGTCTCGCGGCTGGCTTTGCGGTGGTGCAGGCTCGAGTAGCTTGGGGCTTGCTGGACACCTCGCGGGGACATGGGCGTGATGGGGGAGCGCACGCGTTTCCTCCACGTCCGCCAGAGCCTGCCGAGCGCCGAGTTGAGGGCAATCTTCTCCACGTCGGGCTCTTCGATGATCAGACGCTCGATGAGCTGCTGCGATTGGTCGTCGTTCTGCTGGGCCAGCTTCTTCATCCGCGCTGCCATGCGCGAAAAGGCCGCCGAGCCAGCGACGAGTAGTAATTGCTCGGCCACGTACTCGATGACGGAGGTGAGGAAGATGGCAGAGGCCCAGGCGACCAGCCCAGCCTCGTCGTCCTCGTCGTCGTCCATGCTGAGGCCGCGCTCCTGCTGGACATAGCGCTCCTCGTCCTCGTCCTCGAGCTCGCCCAGGCGGGTGTAGACCATGATGCGCAGGCGGGTGCGCTTCCACACCTTCTCCACGTCCCACCGCTCGGCAGCCCTAAGATGCGCTGTGGAGAGCTCGTCGTCGTCCTCGCCGGCCAGCAGACCCTGTAGCTCCTCGTCGGCCGCCTCAATGGCATCGCGGGCCAGTCGCGGCTTGAGCACGTCGGATACGGCGGGGCGGATGGCCGTCAGGGCTGGCGAGCGCGCACTAGAGAGGAATGCGAAGAGCAGGTGGTCGAGGAAGGCATTGAGGAGGGCCAATGCCTGTTCCGAGAAGATGGCGTTCTGCAGCTCGTCTGTGTCGGCGTCCTGGTCGCGCAGCTGGGCATTGTGGTGGTCGGTGACTGTCTGCGAGGCGACGGATGCCGCAATGTAGGCCGGCGCAGGCCGCACCGTCGTGGGCATCTGGAAGGTGACGGAGCTGGCCAGCGAGGGCGTCTTGTCGCTGCTGAAGCTGTGGCTCCGCGACGAGCGCGACGAGGCCATTCCCGCCATGCCAGTCGTCTCGGACAGGGCGTGTCGATGCATGGCGCAGGAGGTCGAGCATGCACGTCGGGAAACGGGGATATCGATTAGGCAGAGTAATATGGCTGCAGCCGATGCGCACGAAGAAAAGTACAGCGCTCCACGCTACTACTACCACAAAGTTACGGTATTGCTGTCATGAATTCGACACTCAAGCAGCAAGAGAACGGGCAAAAGCACGGGCAAACGGCAGATGGGAGATTGGGCGAGCAAAAGAGTATCAGACCAGAATCGGGGTTGTCACGGCTTGTGAGAGACATCCCAGCGGCGATCCTGGACGGTAGTCTCCTGCAATGTGCCCTGGCCTAGCTGCTTTGCCCGTAGTCCGAAGTGGCTTCTCGCCCTCCACAGCAAGAGAGTCGAAGACAGGCTTTGTGCCACGCCGGCGTAAAGCCGCTCTACATATTACAGTACATGTCTAGTAGCTGTCTACCAAAGTGTGGCCACTCAAGGTGGAGTCGTCGCACCATGGGACCAGGACCACGTCTCTGTTTCGCGCACCACGCTCGCCGTACCTGCAGCTTTTCTTTTTGCTCAACAGCCACCCTGCATCCCCGGGACGGATATTATCGTGCTGCGAAACAATGTCGCCGTGTTTTCGGCGCGAGACCGTCACACAAGACACGTCTGCGACAGACACCTCCAGGCCTGTATTGCCGACCCAGGGTCACGCGTCCCGCAGACGTGGTTCGCGACGAGTCAGCGCATCCTTTCGCTAATCTCAGGGGCTGGGCTGGACAACCACGGTTCTCGACAAAGTACGGCATACTGCAGTTTGTATAGGCTGGGCTAGCATGGAAGGCGTCGCCGTTCTGAGAGTGCAGATCGTGAGGATGTAGTCACATCTACAAAAACATCTTTTAGGGCAGCCGCGACTAGCTTCTCCACCACACTCTGCGTCAGTGGCGGATTTCAAGCTACCACAAGTCGTGCAGCTACTTTTTCAATTTAATTAGCAGAACTACGCCACTTCCTACGTCCGTTGCCTAGGATACATCCAAAGTTGGGGTCTACATTGTTGTGCATCCTAATCCTTTATGAAACAGTTGACAGAGTATAGGCAGCGAATAACACGAAGTCGGTCTGGTATGTTGGCCCTACTTGTATGTGCTGCTAAGTACAGAACCATTCCTCCTAGTCCTCCTCGATGACTTCCCCCCTAAGCGAGGCTCCCACGAGTTTGTCTTGATAGTCCACCTGCTTGTGTCACGGCGAAGTCCAAGCTGCAACCACTCAATCACTTCTTCATCTGTCCCGCGCCCACAATGCCTGACTGTGCCTGACCGATCTTGTCTTTGAGCACTGGAACATCCGTAATAGCTGATACATCTTCAGGTATTGCTGTCGTGTCCTGAGCTCCATCACGGTCGTGCGGAGGAAGATAGTCATCGTCCCGTAAGGGTAGTTTGGAGTCCGCGGGAAGGTCTGGTGGCTGTGACGTCTTCTTCTCTTGAGCTGTCTCTTCCGCCTTGGTGCTCATGGTGGCCTCCATAATCTTGACCCTCTCTACATATCGCGCTACTGCATTGATGATATCCTGGTACGAAGAGAGGAGACTGCCCGAACGAGTCTTGGGGCGGAGCTTGCATAGACGTATGTATTCTTGGACGAACTGGTCGCCATGTGCTTTTATCCCCGCGAGACTCTCTAGAGGCCATGCTTCGGGACTGGATGCATCGTCACTGCCAGACTTGGAGGGCTGCAAGACGTTGTCGCGGCCCGCGTGGTGTCGCGCATTGGGGGGCTCCCCGTGATCGTCGTGAGTGTCGCTGTCAGCCATGGCTCTATCAAGTCTTTGGTCAGTGAGTGATTCAGTGAACGTCGTGTGGTACTCACTGTCGAAACAGCCCCGCTATCTCGATGTTGGTAGCGAGAAAGCGCGCAAGACTCGAGTTGAAGATGCTGTCAAGGGAGCAGGAAGTGAGAGTGCTGTTGCCAGAAACATTTCGTGCGCGTAGTGGGAGGGTAAAGCGTGCCTGCCTTCATGTCCGTATCGGGTAACCGCAGATCTTCCGCCTTCACCTTCTTCTGACATGTTCCTCGATTACAGGAACTCTTTCGTGAGTGCATGCTTAGGATGCAATGGATTCGCTATCGACTACGTAACCAAGTCATCCCATCTTTCGTTGGCATAGTCTTCCACCGCAACTGATGGACTTCCATGAGCCTAGCTAGCTATACATCCTGCTGTTCCACCAGGCAGATAGTCTCTCACTTTACTTCACCTTTCTGAGTCGCGCGAGCCGGTTTGCGGACATCCGCAGGTTTTGGGACTTAAATAAGCACTGCGATTGCCGTAAGGCTTTGCAAGTACCTCGTCAACACACCATACTGTTACGCAGTCTCCAAACGCAAGTTCGATGCGAAAAACGCGCAGGGCAGGAGCGTCGTGGTTGCTGTTACCCCATCGCAATCGCTCATTGGCCACGGTTGCAGCCCAAGCTTCCTCCCCTCATCATGCCCCAACTTCACGACATGACTACACAACACGATTGAATCTTCTTTTTTCGAGTGTTTGCTCCCTGCTCTTTAGATTTTGTCGCGTTCCAAGGACGTTCATGCTCTCACCTTTCGCGGTCCGTCAGGTAATGGCGATGGGATGCCGGCGACACCATCCAAGGTCTCCTGTACCAGTGCAGGACGGTAAGTACTCATGTTCCAAAGAACACAGCTCGACCTATAGTGGGGGTCGTTCACTTGCACCGTCTTGAGCGAAAGTCGAATCCTGCTGCCCCATGCCCATCAAAGCGCCGAGGAAACTGAGGCGGAAGGAACGACATCGCGTGTCTCGTCTGTCGCTGCCAGAAGGAGCGGAGTAGGAAATCGTCCATCATACTGCCCATCTTGGAATAACCCACTCAGATTGAGAACAGGTAGAGGTAGCACGTGGCCCACGACATACTCCGGTCTTCCTTCTCCTACTCCGCTTTCTCTCTCATCCTCTGTCGCAGCATCACGTCGACGTGAGCGAATGGCCGCCATGTTGTCCCACTCGCGAGGCGGTACCTACAATCGGAACAGAACTCGCTGCTGTTAATTGATCCCATGTCCTCAGCATAGGTACATGCCAAGGCGTGTCCGTCGACGAACCGAGACCGACAACATGGCTCACCTACAACTCTATCACGACCCCAATGGCAGCAGGGCCGATGATAGACGTGTTCGATATAACACATGTACCGCTGTGTGATGGGGACGTCTTATCTGAGCGACCAATTCCACGCCCTGGAGGTGCCGACAGGAGTGATTGGACGAACACTGACCTTCCGCAGACAATACCATATTGCCAGTGTACAAACACGCAAACACTACGTGAGTCTCCTTCATTGTGCAGCGACAGAGACAATATCGCGGAACCGTCTGCTCGCAATCCCTTGTTCAACCCGACGTTTGGCGTCGCAACTGCTACTTCGTCAATGCGTCATTGGCATTCACCATGATTGGCCCATGTCGATACAGTGGACCATGAATCGCCGACAATCACTTCTCCAGCATCTTCGGGAGCTCAGAGGCAGTGATCCGGAGAAGCTGATTGCGCCATTGACTGTGAGCGGGTGACTAACGCGAGATCAGTGCGCATAACCTATAGCATCATCGACCCCCATCCGGCAGCGACGCCAACATCTACCCCGGATTTTCCAACACCATGCTACTGGCGCCATTTCCGGAGGCCTAGCTTCCCGGAGGTCGGCCATGGCCAAAATCTTCCCCCGTATCGTTCCGAGCGCTTCGTCCAGCGTAGCCTGTGCTGCTGCAGGTACACCCGTTGCTGCCACCCCACCACACCCATATCGCGCTGCAGGTCATCAATCGTCCCGGACCGCACCAGAGGGGTCGTGCCACACATTGCTTCTGTGCGCACGCCGGGTATCGCAGCGACGCAACCCAGAGGCCAATGCCATGTGGCAGAGACACCGTTCGCCGATGGCTGCGTTGGTGGGAACGGATCGACGTTGGGACGTCTGATGGTTGGCCTCCATATCTCCCAGCGCAGCTAGACGTCGTCTCGCGAACGACTCGCAATGTCTGGTGGTTGCGTCTCCAGTCGGTATAGGCCGCACGTGTGAGCACTGTCCATGTCCAGCACCACCACTCCACTGGCTGACTGGCTGCCTGGCGTGAACCATGCAGATGAGGCTCCCTGGATCAGCGCAAGCTATCATCTGGGGAAATACAAGCATTCTCGACCACGCTCCAGCACACGAGCGGGCCTCCAGCCTTGCCTAAAGCGGAGATGACACCGCCACATGCACGGTTCCTGATCTTCACGTCAAACGTCAGGCTGTTTGTGAAATGTGATGTGACGTTTGCGCAGATGGTGCTACTTGAGAGATATTGACATTGTGAAAAGCTGTTGTTGTGTCGCTGGCGGGCAAGCATGTCATCCAGGGCGCAACGGCCGGCGGCGTTACTCGATGGGCTAACGTAACATGGAAATTCGCCCATGTCCCTTATCTCTGGTGCCAGGGGGCATGCAGTGCTAGCGGATCGACGGCTCGCCCGCAACCCCGCTAAGCCCAACGTCGACGCACGATAATGTTGAGCCGACGTCGCTGTGCGGCTTTTTTACCTTTGTCGGGATGTCTCGAACGCGCTGGATTAATCACAATCGTGGGGTTGGAGAGGGATTATCATTTGGATGACGGCAATTCGTGCAACTCGAATGTGCCGCGTGCGCGCTGTGTCGCCGGCGGGCCAGGAAACCTGTGGGGTTGAGATGGGAATCCTCCAGCCGTACCATCGAAGTCGAGACGACACCAGCGACAGAGACTTCCAGCGCTCTTCTAGAATAATGCACGTCCTCTGGTCCCAGACAATAAAACGGACACACCGGTCGGAAGGCTATTAGAGTCTCGGATGCTGACTACAAGAAACGACGTTGAGCGGTTTGCGTGATGCTGCCATGACGAGGCAGGACTAACTGCAACTGCAGCCATTGGCCCGAACCGGCCTTATCGCCCCCCGATGTCAACCCCGGGCAACGGCGCGCCCTGCCCAGCGCGACGGTTATGCACTACAGCGAGCTGGGCATGCAGGTGTCGCGAGACGTGGACGCGCAGGGTCTGGGTATTCAGGGTTACGCAGCTCGTGTTGGGCACAGGTTGGCGATGCATACGAACGGCCATCGCAAAGCAATAGTCGTGTGGAGCGGTGTGTCGTAACTGTCGTTGGTACGGGCCAAGACCGAAGGGCATGACCAATTCGGCAGTACCTGGATAAAATTAGCTGCCCTTACAGCGACGCTACCCAGCGTCAAATCGCTCAAACTCGGAAGCTGGTGAGGCTGTGCGTCTGTGCGTTCGCCCGTCAGCCAACATCACGATGCGCGACAAAGACCGCGTGGGCCTATGGTAAGCCTTGGAAACCGGCGACGCGAGATTGGGCACAATATCACCAGAGAGACGGTACAACCGTGGCTAGCGGAAGCCTAGAGATTGCAGAGTGGGCAAGGCATGCTGGGATGCGGCGTAAAGTCGCGCGTTTAGAGACATTGATTGCTTCTTCATCCCACGGAAACAGTTCGGCGACGCCTCTTGGCTACGGCCAGCCTAAGTAGTATCTGAGCACGGCTAGCCCCGCCACAGGCCGAGACAGTCAAAGCAATCCAGCATTCTTACCTTATAACAGACCCCCAGGCCCGCTATCCTTATCTACTTGCCCATCATAACTCCCCACTTCACACAGAGACCCCTCTTATAACCCCTCCACTGCCTTGTCTTGTCGCAGTCAAGAGTTACTTGCTATTCCCTCACCACCACACATACACAACCACAGTCATGGTACGTGTCGCCGGCTGCTCATACACGCGACTCTTGCTGACCATATTCTAGGCGAACTCAACGATTGTTTCCAATGCGGCCAACGTAAGTCTACTGCTCGCGTGCTACACTCAAACACATGCTAACGCGCATTGCAGCTCAAGAAGTACCTCGACCTGCCCCAAAAGGGCGCCGTCATGGCCGAGTACGTCTGGATAGATGGTTCCAACGGAATCCGCTCCAAGTCAAAGGTGAGCAACTTCCAGCTTTCCGATCCTTCAACCCGATCTCCACGATCTCTGCGATATACCGCGGCATTTGCACCACGCTACGGCTGCGGATCGGTCTAGTCTGCGGTTCGAGGTTTCTAGCCGAGAGCAGCAACTGGCTGCGACGCGCCGTGCGATACACAATCTGGAGAAGCCATTCGACGACTGGAGTCGCGAGCGTGGTGGTCTGCATGTGTGACGCACATGGCGCCAATCGCTCCTTCTGCCGGAAGTTTTGGCGTTCCTTCTTATCGCACCCCACCACCAGCCACAGCCCGCAGTGACGTCGTTCCCTTATCCCACCCGACTACATTCCGATTACCCGAGGCTCATACTGACATGCACGCAGACGCTCAAGTCGAAGGTCGAGAGCCTGAAGGATCTCCCAGAATGGAACTTTGACGGTTCGTCGACGGGCCAGGCGCCCGGCGACAACTCGGACGTCTACCTCCGCCCCGTTGCATACTACCCCGACCCCTTCCGTCTGGGCGACAACGTCCTGGTCATGTGCGAGACGTACATGTCGGATGGCTCGCCCAACGCCTACAACTTCCGCCACGACGCCGCCATCATCTTCGAGAAGCACAAGGAGCACGGCTTCTGGTTCGGTCTGGAGCAGGAGTACACCCTTCTCGACGAGTTTGGCTGGCCCTACGGATGGCCCAAGAACGGCTTCCCCGCCCCTCAAGGCCCCTACTACTGCGGTGTCGGTACCGGCAAGGTCTTCTGCCGTGACATTGTCGAGGCTCACTACAAGGCCTGCATGTACGCCGAGATTGCCATCTCCGGCACCAACGCCGAGGTCATGCCCGCCCAGTGGGAGTACCAAGTCGGTCCCTGCCCCGACATCTCGCTCGGTGATCAGCTCTGGATGTCGCGCTTCCTTCTCCACCGCGTCGCTGAGGAGTTCGGTGCCAAGGTTACCTTTGCGCCCAAGCCCATCCCCGGTGACTGGAACGGTGCCGGTCTGCACACCAACGTCTCCACCAACGAGACTCGTGGCGACAACGGCATGAAGGCCATCGAGGCCGCCATGGAGAAGCTGTCCACCCGCCAAGCCGAGCACATGGCCGTCTACGGCTCAGACAACCAGCTCCGCATGACCGGCAAGCACGAGACTGCCTCCTACGACAAGTTCACCTGGGGCGTCGCCAACCGCGGTTCCTCCGTCCGTATCCCCCGCGCCGTCGCAGCCGAGGGCAAGGGCTACTTTGAGGACCGCCGCCCGGCCTCCAACGGTGACCCATACCAGATCACCGGCATAATCGCCGAGACCATGTACGGCAAGGTCGAGGGCGCCGATGTCGCCAGGTTCGCCAAGAAGGCGGAAACTGTCGAGACCGAGATGGTCATTGACATCCACAAGCCATAAACAAATCTTTCTTTGCTCCCTCTTCTTCATACCCCCTTTCGCGCTTAGACTATTTGTTTGATGATGATGTCGCCGCCGCCGTCTTTTGATGGCTGGCTCTTGGGCAACAGTGGTTCGGTCGCGTTTCTCCCTCTTGCATACATCGTTTGAGGTTGCTTGACGACTTGGAATGGAACTGGAACGTAATAGCACGAGCAATGAATTTATGTCCACTGTCTTGACTTCGTATCTTGATCGATGATCTAGTGTCGCATGCCGCCATTCTCTCTTGCGCTCGTTGACATGCAGCCGCTACTATACCGACAGCGAGCATCTACGACTAGTCCCTGCTGATATAAGCCCGCTGCGATTGGTGGAAAGTAAGACCATTCCTCCCGCTACACTACCACCACGAAGAACATCTTTATACGAGTGCTTTCGCAGATCAGGATTCCTTTTCCGCATCCCACTGGCATTCGTCATACACCAAGAGCTCGCTGTCATACTTTTGCCTACCTTTTCCACCTGCACACCCCCGGATAAACCCTTAACCGAAATAGCAAAGGCGCGTTTGTGGCGGTCGGCAAGCGAGCAACTCGGCATATTCTTTCCCCCAGACTTCTATCGTTTATAAAGATGGGGTACCCCACTGGAAGCATAGCGGAAACAGTCGACTGTCATATGAAACCTTTTGTAGTGTGTTCTGGAGATGTCGAAGCGCGAAGAGAGAACCCCCGAGCCTGTGGAAGGCGTCACGGATCTGGAACGGGTGGTCACCGCGACACACCAGACCACGGATGATGCAGAGAAAGATAATGGACTTGTGGCTGTGGATACATCGGCTTCTGAGCGCTTGCCGTTTTCGAAGGCACGGTGTGTGGCGCTTGTTACGACGATTGCTGCGGCGCCGTTTTTGAGTGTGAGTATGCCCGACGATTTTTGTTGGAGAAGAGAGGAAGAAGACTGATCGACTTGTGATAGACGATGGCGGTTCAAGCATCGGTTATCATCCTACCTACCATCGGGGAGGAATTGGATATTCCGGTTAGTCGTCAGCAGTGGATTATCTCCGCTTACAATCTTACATTTGGCTGCTTCCTGGTATGTCTTCTGAATCTCTCTCATATATCTACCCTTCCCTAACCCGCTCACTCAGCTACTATGGGGCCGTCTAGCAGACGTCTACGGCCGACGAATGATCTTCCTCTGGGGCTCCGCAGCCTTCACACTCACATCCATAATAACGCCCTTCATCCCCAATGAAATCGGCTTCGACATCTTCCGCGGCCTCCAGGGTCTCGCTGCCGCCGCCATGGCACCAACCGCTCTCGGCATCCTCGCTTCTACCTTCCCACCCGGCAAGACCAAAGACATCGCTTTTGGCTGTTTCGGTGCTGGAGCCCCACTTGGTGGCGTGTTGGGCAACATCTTTGGTGGTGTCGTGGGCGAGTACCTCGACTGGCAGTGGGTTTTCTGGTTGTTTGGGATTATCGCGGGGATCTCTACGGTTGCGAGTTACTTCGTTATCCCGATTCCGCCGTTGGGGCCTGAACCCGTCTTGCGCAACACGGTGGATTGGATCGGCGGATCGCTCATCACCATCGGTCTCGTTATCCTCGTATTCGCGCTTTCGGAAGGCAATGTCGTGGGCTGGAGTACGCCGTGGGTACCCGTGCTCATCGTGCTCTCACTAATCATCATCGGCGCATTCGGCTTCTGGCAGCACTACCTCGAGCACAAGACAGAGAGACGGCCGTTGATGAAAATGAGTATCTTCAAAAACGGCAAGTTCACTGCTGCCAATGTTCTCATGGCGCTGTTCTTCTCGTCCTTCAACAACTACCTCATCTTCGCCACCTACTGGTTCCAGGACTACCAGGGCCTTTCCGTTATCCAAACCACGCTGCGCTTTCTACCGAACGGCATCACGGGGATTCTGGTGGCTACGATCACGGGACAGATTCTGTCTCGTGTGCCGGGCGATTATATACTTACGTTTAGCACTATCTGTGTGAGTATATCCTCCTTACTCTTCGCAATCCCCATTCCGGTACATACGACGTATTGGGCATATGGCTTCCCGGCTATGGTACTGTGTGTCTCGGGTGCGGATACCATCTTCCCTGTGCTCACGTTGTTTGTGGCGAAGACGCTGCCGGCGGAGGATGCTTCACTGGGAGGGGCGCTTATTACGGCTGTGGGTCAGATTGGGAGGGCGATTGGTCTGGCGATTGCGACAGCTGTGCAGACGGCTGTTGTAGCCAGAAAGAAAGGTCTGCGTGTGGATGAGATTGGTGGTGAAGGACATAAGACGGTGCCTTGGGATGACGCGCTTAAGGTGGGTATTAGGACGACGGCTTGGTTTAACTTTGGTATGAGTGTTGCGTCTACGGCTGTTGTTGTTTTCTTCATTAGGGGTATTGGCATTATCGGAGGAAAAGGGAAACGGTAGCGCATTAGAGGACTCATCGAGCAAACCATCCTGGTACCAATCGTTCCCCCGCTCTTATGCGAACATCGGTCCAAAGTACAGCACGTCAAAGCATGCCAGCGCTGACCCACAAAACGGTGAAACCGAAGTCCTCCACCGCAGACCCAGCAAGTAAAACATCAGCCACCTACCTGCCCTATCGTCACGTATCTTATCTAGCAAATAACAACGTGGTCCATCCGGGTCTATGCCCCAAGCGGCTAGTGCAATCACGACATACCACCTCTCGATTTCGTGTACAACCCCAACTCATAAGCCCTTGCAACACGCCGCCATGCAGTGCAGTAAAGCCGAGGACGATCGCCCTGTCAGAACGCAGCAAATCTCGCATTGGAAGCGGGTTGCCATGCGCTCCAATGAGCGTTCACGGTTGTGCCTGAGGTTTGCCCGTCCGGCCTGGGGCATGACGCTGCCGCGGCTTGAGCTGATTGACTGATGGACCCACGTTCTTGCATCATTGCGAGCTACGAGGAATGCGACGGTAGTGGGTTGATAAGAAGAGCTTGGTGCCCGGGCGTCGTTGGAGGGATATTTCACGTTTCGATACTTCCGCGTGGAAACCAGTGCGAACGTGACGATGGCTTCGGAGAAGAACGATGCACCCGCTGCATCGACCTCTTCCGCGAGCGACGTAGAAATTGTCCCAGGCACCATCAACGAAAAGAAGTTACTCAGAACCTTGGATTTGAGACTCCTGCCCGCGGTGTCAATCTTGTACCTGCTCAGCTTTCTCGATCGCAGCAATGGTACAGACTTCATCCTTCCCAGCGCTGATGAAAATATACTAACAAATAACCCAGTCGCCAACGCACGTATCGAAGGCCTTACAACCGACCTCGGTATGACAGGCAACCAATACCTCACCGGCCTAACCCTCTACTTCATCGGCTACGTCCTCTTCGAAATACCCTGCAACATCGTTCTCAAACGCACAACGCCGAAGTTCTGGTTGCCTACGCTGACGGTGGTGTGGGGTGTTGTGGCTACGCTGATGGGCGTTACGCAGAACCTGTCGGGGTTTTTTGCGGTGCGCTTCTTGTGAGTAGCCCGAGAAAGACACTAATAGTGCGACAACGGCTGATCATCTGTAGTCTGGGAATGGCAGAGTCGGGGCTGTTCCCTGGCGTGGTGTATTATTTGAGTATGTGGTATAAGCGCAATGAGCGACAGTATCGCATTTCGCTGTTTTTTAGCTGCGCTTCGCTCGCTGGGGCTTTTGGTGGTGTATGCTATCCCTCTTGCGGATACGAGAGACAAGCTGACGAATACAGATCTTAGCGTATGGCATTGCACATATGCGTAACGTGGGGGGATACGCTGGGTGGCGATGGATCTTCATCTTGGTACGCCCACCAACCTGCTCATGAGTTCGTCACTAACAGCAACATAGGAAGGTCTGCTCACCATAATCATCGGCGTCATTGCGTACTGGTTCATTTCAAACTACCCCGCCACCGTCAGCTGGCTCAGCAAAGAAGAAAGAGCGTTCGTGCAAGCGCGTCTCAAAGCCGACAGCGACGCAACGAACGACGAAGCGTTCTCCTGGGCGGAGGTCTTGCTAGCCGCAAAAGACGTCAAAATCTGGCTCTACGCCTTCGCCTTTCACACCATGAGTTTACCACTGTACACTCTATCCCTATTCCTTGTAAGTCAGCCAATTCCGAAACGTGCACACCACTCTAACGTCCCTCAAGCCAACAATCATCCGCGACATGGGCTACACATCCGCCCAATCCCAGCTCCTCACCATCCCCCCCTACGCCGTCGCAACCCTCTTCACAATCTTCTGGGCCATCCTCTCGGAACGCTACGCCCGGCGTGCCCTCTTCATCCTCACCACCTCCACCGTCGCAATCATCGGCTACATCATCCTCCTCGCCAACACCGATCCCAAAGCACGCCCTGGCGTGTCTTACGTGGGAACCTTCTTCGCAGCCATCGGCATCTACCCTTCCGTCGCCCTAGTCCTCTGCTGGCCCGCCATCAACGTCAGCGGGCAAACCAAGCGCGCAACGGCCAACGCTATGCAGATTAGTATTGGTAATCTGGGGGCGGTGCTGGGGACGCAGTTGTATCGCGCGAACTCTGGGCCGAGATATGTGCTTGGGCATAGCTTTGCGCTGGGGTATTTGTGTTTGAATCTAGTGGTTGTGGGCGCGTTGTGGGTGTTGTTGAAGAGGGAGAATGCGGAGAAGGAGAGGGTGTTGTTAGAGAGGCCCGAGACGGGCGGGTTTCATGATAGTGTGGAGGATGTTAAGTTGGGGGATCGGCATCCGAGGTGGAGGTTCCAGGTTTGAGAGAAGAAGGGAGTACCAGATTTAGAGATTTTACGTCTGGTCGTTATATTTAACTCATAAAGACGCGCATGGTGGTGGTTGGATGGTTCTAGAGGCACGAACTTGCTTCTAGCTCGAGCGCTATGTCTCTCGATGTGCGATATAGGGCCAGGTTACAACTTTCGATATTTTGTGAAGTCAGCTTCAACTTAATGCTGGGTTCAGGTGCTTCGCTACCTAGGTACGGAATTGCGCACCTAGAACCGGCACCTGAGACTGCCGGGACGGCAGAGCCGCTAAACCAATTTCGGTCGAAGTACCAGCGAGCCCGAACAACAAGCGCACAAGGCAACAACATCTGCTGCTACCGCCTGGCGCATGTTGGAAGCCAGCTGTCCTTACAAAACTGTGTTATCTTACAATTTATGATAAATACCCTCCTTCCACGGCTTTGCCGGCACAAGTACTGCCACCGACATCAGAACTGAGACAATATCATGACATCGCAGACCCCTTCCCAGCAGCTACAATCGCGCCTTCTAAGCCTACCCCGGGAACTTCGCGATGAAATCTACACATACTACTTGCAAGAAACTGGGGGTTACGCCCACTCTCCCCTCACCAACAAGCTTCGGTGTTCCAGTGGCCAGATCCTCGATTTCAGCTTGATGTGGACCTGCAAGATGGTCGCCAGCGAGATGCGAGATCTACCACTCAGGGTGAATGAAGTGGTCTTCAAGCCCTTTCAAGAGATCAAGGCTTCGCAGGAGGGGTCTAATATTTGGGATGCGTGGTCTCAGGCTGGCAAGTACGACTTCTTTCTGGAGAGACTGCATCTATTACAGGAAGAGATCTTTGCACTTGCGGCGACAACACAATGTAAGTCAATTCGTGGTTGACGTAAAACTCTACCTAATCTAATCATACTAACTGCTTTGTGACAGCTCCCGAACAGCACATGGTATATGTCTTGAAGCGGTATCCAAACAGCTGCATTGGCGATATCCTCGGACGCATCATGAAAATCAAAAATGACATCTATGTACCTCTTGCAGCTGTCATGGGTAGCGCACAGTCGCTGACCTTTCATGATCGCGGTGTCCTACAAGATGGCCTCTTGGGACTGACTTCTTACGCCGACTTTGTAGAACAAGTCAGATCGCAAGGCTGGTGCTTGGATGTTCTCGGTTTCATCATTACACATGGACCAGGCAAGCGTGGTGTTCGTCTGATCTCAATGGACAGGAGATGGTTAGTCCTAGGTCGTGTCGCAAAAGAGTCAATCTTCAGACGCAACCGTGACATACGCTCCGCAGCAGATCTGAGCGCTGAAAGACTCAATGAGATGCGCTCGACAATTGCTAATACCCAGTGGCGACCCTGGATTGTACCTACAGACGAGCAGATCATCACAGTGCGCGATCTGTTCGAAACGTCAAATCCGATCGGGTGGCCCAATTGGAAAGATGACCTGCCGGATCTCCGATACTTCCAATCAGCCGCGTCACAAGCTGTCCGCTTTCTGAACGCACTGCATCCTCAGCATCGCAAGCAAATGCGAGATATCAAGATAACGGAAGAAGAGAAGTGTGCAGCTCTTCCGGAATGTCACCTACGGGGTCTACTCCACGTTTTCGACGAAATCCCCGCGCTGTCGGTGGTCAGACACGTCGACCTTTGGCACTGCGTGTAAGTGACCCAAGGAGCCCGACTCACTGCATCGTGTGCTAATCAACGGGTAGATTTCCGCATGATTATGGGAGACTTGCACAGATGATCACAAACGATAGGCTCGACCAATTCTGGACTGAGTGTAGGGTTCAAGATGCCGTGCTTCGCACAATCACTTGGATCAACGAAGCGACAAGCCTTTCTTGGGATAGAACCGGCCGCCTCTCCGTCAAGACCCATTTCGTTGGTCCTCACGACACTGTGCAGCTCATCTGGAATAGAGTCAAAGCTGTCGCAGCATTGTACTCTGCAGCTGTGGTCTGTACGCGCGACCAATGCGATCCATTCTCACGACGAGACGATCTGGCGCTGGCATTCGCACATGAAGACGACGCCGCTTTCAGCAACCCGGAATTGCTTCCAGTATCGGTGCGACAAATCCTCTCGTACGACTCTCTCGTGAAGTTCCCGTGCATCATGGGTACCCTTGACGAATTCGAGAAGGAATGCGAGTACATCTATTCCATATTGCGGGGCAGACCGAAAGAAGACTGGGAGTTGCACTGGAAGAGAACCCTAGAGGGTGTGATTGAGGAAGAAGGAGTGGACTTCAAGACCGTACAATCCAGGTACGCAGATCATCGCCCCAGCTTTGACTAAGAGCCATTTCCTACCTGCCCGATCCTGTACCGCTCGTCAACATGCTATTATCTATAGATCAGTTTGCATGTCGCACAGTAGACATAGATGAAAAGATTATGATGATGGTCTTGCCTATTGCTAGTATTGCAAGCTCAAGTATGGGTATCTACACCTAACACTCTCCGATGTTGCACTAATACGAGAAGTACCTTGCATCAGGCACCGGCGCGCGATCCAATTTGAAGTACCCCGGCTGCAGCTTCTGAAACACCTCTTTCGGATCATACTTGCTCGCAATAGTCTTCATCTTACTCTTGCTGTCCGACCCATAACTTGCAATGACGTCCTGGAACATCGCTGCGTAGTTCATATACACCCAGTCGTTCTGGACACCCAACTTTACCGCATCGCTCTTGATCGCCTTCATGATGTCTGACATGACCTGGTACACGGTGTCGTCATCCGCTGCATCGTTCCAGCTACAGGCTAGCTGGATGATGTGAATAGGGCTGCCGTTGGCGTCGAAACCCATCGCGCTGCCGCCGTTGCGGGTGCTGCCTTTGAGCGAACCGTCGGTGATGTGCTGCCAGATGAGCACGGGATATGCGCCTTCGACGGCGGAAAGCGCGCCGATCGAGTCGTAGAAGATGTCCACGGAGCGTTCGGCGATCTCGTAGGAGGCCTTGACTGAGATAACGTAATAGACCTCACGAAGCCCATACTTGTTGGTCGCTTCGTTGTCGATCGCGTAAGAAGCATGGCCTCGCGTTTTCGTGCTATCAGCTACGGCAGTGATATTGTAGAAAGGTGCGAGAATCGCCGACTCGTTACCAGCTGGTGCGCCGTACCAGAGTTCAGTTGAAGCAAGCTTTGCGCCCTTGTCCAGCCAGGCAACCCAGCTACCGGCCTTGGGGTCTTGTGCCGAGTTGAACGTGAGGTCCACCCACGCCTTGATTACATCCGGGAATTTGTCTTCTGTGAAAGTGCGGGTGCCTCCCCAGATCTGGTCGTTGTCGAGGGGTTTTGTCGTCAAGTTGAAGCTGGTTACGATGCCAAAGTTGTTGCCGCCACCGCGAAGAGCCCAGTAGAGGTCTGAGAAGGTCGTTGGGCTTGCCGTAACCATGACGCCGCTTGCCGTGGCAACCTGGTCAATGTTAGAGAAGTACGATATCGTAGGTTTGCGCATCAAGCTTACTTCATAGCTAGCGACGTTGTCACAAGCTAGACCGTACTCATTCGTGAGGAACGATATGCCGCCACCGAGGGTGAGTCCGCCAACCCCAATATCACCAATACGTCCAGATACGACTGTGACACCAGTGGTCGACAAAGCGGTAAGTACATTACCCCATACATTCCCTGGTTGAACTGCGACGGTCTTCTTGTCCTCCGAAAGCTCGATGCCCTTCATGTTCTCAAAAGATACAGTGATGCCTCCCTCGATAGTAGCTGCGCCGGCGAACGCACTGTGACCACCCGACTTGACGGCAAACGGACATTTCGATAGCCGAGACAGAAGTACCACTACCGAAACAGCGGCCGGGCTCGAGGGCTTGAAGATACAGTATGGCCTGACCTCAGCCGAGATTCCAGACCAGAAGCTGGATGTGAACGCGGAATATCCGGCCTCATCTTGAAACTCGACAGAGTTGTTTCCGTAGACGACCTCCAGGGAAGAACACTGTTTGTGATTTAGCCTTAGTTCTCAGCTACTTGCTTGAAGATACTCACGACGATGTTGCAGGCCAGGTTGGATGACCGATCTGCAAGGCCGGCTAACTCTGGCAGTGCGGAGACGTTGATGCCTTGATCGAGGAGAGCCTCGGTGACGCTGAATTCGGCAGGCTCGAAAAACTGAGACGCCACGGACGAGAGCAATGTCGCAAAGGGGAACAACAGCCGCATCGTGACCGGTTTGGGGATCGGAAGAGACTACAGGATTCTCAAGGAAGGAAGCGCGAAGACCGTCTTTATAGATACACAACGGCTTGGGGTCATATTACTCAGTTGCAACGGCCCATGTGAAGAGCGTTGAACCGCGCAAACGAACATGAGCTGCTGCATGCCCAAAAGCCAGCGCAGGGGTCGGGTCGGTTGTAGCCTAGCCCTCTGCACGCGTGCCGTACCGCATGCCTAGTGGTGAGATTCTTGCCGTCAGGCCGCGGAGAAGATACTTGGTCTAATTGTTTGCCATGAAATTGCGAGATGATCCCTAAGTAGGTGGAAGGTATGTGGCTCCTCGGTATCGGACGTGTATGACCAGCGACGAGCATGTCGAGCAATACTCTTCCGTCGCTCGTCGAGGAATACTGCGTATAGATGTACCGTACGTAGATACAGCTACGCCGCAGCACTGCAGTTGACTGAGATTACATCGATCCTTTGGCAGGGTCGGGTGCAGGGCGGCAGCCACTAGCGGCATCAACGGCTTCCCCGCCACTAAGCTCATCTCGTACATAGCGCCGCAAAGTTCGCGGCCGTCCTTCTTTTTACCGGCCGCTCCATCCCGCATCTCGATGTAGTGCTACTCAGGTACTGCGCAAGCCAACGAGATGGCGATGTCCTCGCTGAAGTCAAGGATCAGTCGAAAGCACCCCGGAAAAAACTCCCGTTTGGATACAAGTTCATATGCAATGGCGCACTACCTAGGTAATGAAGATGGCAGCGATTGAACAATTTATAATAATTATATACAAGGAAACGGGGTGAGTCAACACTAGGAGAACAGAAGGTAACAGCTTCGTAAAAGCAAGACCATACTTGCGAAGCTGGAGAAGTATGAACTCTCACGGAGAGAACATCTACTTGTAAAGGAAAGTAACCATGGAATGTGCGGGCACGCTGTTTCCGGTCATCGCATCAAGCCCGTGGCTCTCGTTGGTAATGAACGCAGACGCTTTGCCGGAGACACCGGTGATGCTGACAGTCACTGCCGACGCGCCAGTGTTCAAGACCTGCACAGCAACTGAGCCATCAGTGTTCTTGAAAGCAGATGTCTTGAGCGTGCTAGTCCTGCCACCAGCGCTGACGCGAACAGCACCAGGCTTGACGAAGCGGCTCCACTGTGCCATAGCCCAGAAGCGCTTGGAAGGAGCAACGACTCCGCCATGAATATCGATGAGAACAGAGTTGGTAGGGTTGGTGCCAGCATCCTCAGCGCCTTCCCAGTAGAGGTATGCCGAGAAGTTTGCGTCGACAAGAGCAGTGTATATTTTGGTGGCCCAGGTCTGACCTTCGCCGGCACCGCCGTTGGTGTAGTAGCTGGCTGTCCACTTGCCACTGAGATCCGCAGTCTCAGTCATCCACATGTGCTTGGAAGTAGCGAAGGGAGCTGTGGGGTCGGAGGTGTATCCATGGGTGGTAACGACGTCGTATAGGGAGTCGACTGCAGCGAGTCCTGGAAGCATGGCCTTCTGAGCGTTGTACCCGGTGGCGTCGCAGCAGGTGAGCTTCACCTTTAGACCAGAGGCCTTGACGGTTGGAGCGAGGACTTTGATGAAGTCTGCGGCCTGCTGTCCGGTCGATCGCATGGAAGAGTAGGCGGTGCTACAATCCGTCAGTAAAAGATCATCTACACGAAGACATGTGAAAGACTTACGTGTAGTCGGGCTCGTTCAAAAAGCCAAGGTGGGTCACGTCAATACCCTCTTGCTTGTAGTATTTGACGTATTGTGTGAGGTAGTTGGCGTAAGCTTGGGTCCAGTTGCCGCAGGATGTGCCATCGACACCGCAAAGGCTTCCTCCCTAGAGCACGTTAGCCATCGCTTCCAAACCCCGTTTGGGTAGTTGTACTTACGTTTGAGTCTTTACCGTTGGTCTTCATGAACCCAGGAGCAGACCAAGCATCGGCATAGATGGTCTTGAGGCCGCGGGCTTGCGCTTGCTTCGTCAACCAAACCTGGTTGTTGTCGGAGCCATCCCACTGGTACTTTGGTGTTCCAGTGGGCGATCCGGGGCTGTTGGGCTCAATAGAGAAGCCGCTGGAAGGGCCAGAGCCAATGCCGTTGCGCAGGATGTTGAAGCCTGCGCCGGTAGTAGGATCGAAGAGAAGGTCAAGAGTTTGCTTCTGGGCAGCCGCTGCCAGAGACTTGATGTTTCCAGCGCGACCGTAGAACTCGGAGATACCGAAACCGTCAATCGTTTGGAAGGTCTTACTGGAGTCCACGGCAATGGTTACTGCCTGACGGGGGTCGAGACTTGGTGCAGAGAAAGCAACGTTGGAAGAAGCAAGGAAAAAGGCCAGCTTGGACAGCATCTTGTCGGTTTCGTCTTGGCGAGATTGGAATACAGGGGCGAAGAGTTCGGTGTGAATTGAAGTCAATCAAGCAAAACTGAACAACAGACTAGTGCTTAAAGAATGGAAGCCAAGGATGGATAGCGGAGTATTACGGGCAACGGACAGGAGATGTATATACTACCTTGCGCATTCGTCCATGACCCTCGCATTCGCAACATGCTCGCATTCGTAAAACGCATTGCAAGAAAACAATCTAGAGTAGGCCCGAGATGGCACGGCCTGCCAAATGATGTCTTATATTCGGCCTCCATTGCGACACGAGGTTTTCCCGTCGAGGCGTCGCGGTCGCAGGTGCTCAGGGCGCATGGGTGGAAGAGGTCTAGGTAGACGTGAAGAGATGACAGGTGTTGCTAGTCGCGCTGTCTAAACGTTGCAGGGCATGGTGGCGTAGCGCTTGTGTTGTAGATAGACAAGGCTTGATGATCCTTTACGAAGCTTAGCAAGGCTTGGCCTTCTTAACCGGTGGTGCAAAGTGAATGCACGGAACGTGCGGGGAGAACTACGTGTCCCATGCGCGAGCACCGCATGAATCCACCAATATGAGGCGGCGTTCTATATGACTTATCCTGCTCATTGTTTCTATTTCGGAAAATGTGTTTCGTTTCATAGGTCTGGCATGAAAGAAGAGCCTGGAGTAGAATTTCGCCGTGTGTCACGTGGTCCGATCGGAAACGATTGCTTCCGAGATCCCGAAGGCTGCACGATCTTGCGCACAGCATCG